AAATCTACACTTCCCAAGCCAGCCAACCAAAACACCGTGAATTCCTTAGGGTGGTGCCAGTCTCATCTTCTTAACCTTCCCACGCTCCTGCTGGGGGCTAAGGAAATGCTTATCTCCCCGTGCGCAGCCTTCATCAAACCATTCCATCACAGGGGTCTTCCTATCATAAACAAGGATGAACTTCCACCTACTTCCTGTGTTCCATCCCTGAGGGCCTTCATTCTGAAATGACAACAGGAATAATGCCATCCTTGTCTCCAAAAATAAGTTGTTCCAAATGAGAAGGGCCCTGATGGGGAAGTCTTGTCCTTCAGGCCTGTTATATCAACACTCACATAGGAAAGGAACCCATAATATACCTTTACGTTGGCTGTTACTGGACAGGCAGATTCCAATTGTAGTTAACCAGATCCCAAGCAATGTGGGACTTTATAAATAGGATTATGAATTGCACCTGGAAGCCAACTGGGAACCAATACAGCTTTCACAGTACTGGTATAGGACTCACTGTATGGAGCTTGACCCATCATCACAAGGCAACTGCTTTTTGAACCAGCTATAGTTTCTGCATGGTCCTCAAGGGCAGTCCTACATAGAATGAATTACACTACTCTGGTTGTGAAACGACAATAGCAGGAATAGCCTTTGTTAAAATCCTGACAGCCTCTGGGTGCTGGCTAAAGACTTTGATTGGGTCTCCTGTTCTGTTAGGAGTGGAGATATGCAACTAGTTATCTTTAATATACTGATGGTAATTGATCTCCCCAGCAACTATCAGGTGGTCTAGTAGGATACCACAATCAATGGTATTGATAGTTGCTGAGAAGTCCAACAGGACCAAGAGAATCTCCTGTGTCTTTGATCATTTTGATCTCTGGTAGCAACATCCCCAAACAGTCATCCCTGGGTACCATCTTCCACCACACTGTTCCACCAAAATTTTCATTTTTTCCCCCTTCTCTTCCTCCTTCTCACTGTACCTTCTCACATTCACTATCCTATTCACTTTCCTCTCATATCTCACTAATAAAAGACTCAGATGCGCTAGGAAAAAACCCATCGACTCATTCTCTCTTCCTGGCATGAAACACTTTAGCTCTTTGTGTCATCTTGCAAAACAAAAACAAAATATAAAACCATTCATTTTTCTTTTCTCGTTTTTCCCACCCTGAATTGCTTGGTGGCCAGGTCATAGTTAATAATAGATCTGCTTTATTCTGTACTGGCCAGGCCACCTTTTGAATTACGTTTTAGTCCATGGAATGAATTGGAATATATCCAAAAATGGATGACCTGGATGTTGAGGACTGGATATGTTTAGTCCTATGAGTAATTGTTGAAAATGCTGGGTATGCTTAGTCTGAAGAAAAGAAGATTAAGTTATGGAAGCAATTGCTAAACAACTGGAAGACTCCTGTGCAGAAGTGGGCCTGGAGTTTTTTCTCTTGCTCCATACAACAAACTAGAATCAGGTGGGTGGAAACCTCAGGAAAGCAGATTTTGGCTAAACACAAGGGGCAAGAGCTCTTCAGCATTGGAAAAGCTTGCTTTGTGGGCAGGGTGAAGATTAGATTCTCCTTCTTTGGGGGTATGTTTAAACAGAGACTGGATGGCCTCTAATTTAGGATGCTATCTGTCCATCCTTCACTGCAATCTGCACTGACCAGGAAATCAGGTTAGATGATCTCCAAGCTCCTATAGGCTCTTTGAATCTCTGCAGTCATTGACCATTTAAAGTATCTCACAAATCAGCTCTTACTTACCTCCAGAGTAAGAATAAGGTAAAAGCTATGAATAAGGAAAAGAGGACCAATCTCAGTACAGATTCTTATTTCTATCCATTGTGTGCATTACCCGTTAATCCTTGTTCTTTTTATGTTACTGATTGAAATGCTACATTTACTCAGGACCGTTTAGTGAGGAAGATCATTAACAAGGTAATGTTTTAAATTTGTTAACAAACAAAAGTACTAAGCATTCTGTGTCTACTGCAGTCTTCTCAGATCTGTTGGACTACAACTCCTATTATCCCTACCTAGGGAGCTGGTTACTCTGCCACTGTCATTGAGAGGTATAAAAGGTATAATCTGGAGACCCAAAGATTTGGGGAAAGCAATTTTTTGTAACGATATGTGGGAATGACCTTGGGAGACAGGAGGAAGAACTGCAGATTGGAGAACCGCCAAGTAAAAGATGTCTCAGCCCACAGAAGGGGAGAGAGCATGGGAAACGTTTCAGAAGGGACCCTCCTTAGTTTGCCAGAGAGTAAAAGGAAAACAGGAGAAATACTTTCAGTCTTACAAGATTCTGATAATGTAACCTTACAATAGAGATAGAGCTGGTACTCCTGAGTGTGCTTCTTGTCTGGACTATCCCTCAGGGCTCATACCCTTGCAGTGAATGTGCAAATGTCCAAGGGTACTGTATATTCACAGGTGAACAGCCCTATTGTGGTTTTGGGTCAGTGGCATAAATCAGGACCATACTCTGCATAACTAAAAGTCTGTCTGAGATCATTCCCATTACCTCATCCAAGAAGAAGCAAAAGCTATTAATCTTTACTGTCATTGTAAAGTGGGGCAGAGAAAGGCAGCCAAAAGATTCTTCTTTTATTTATGGGATGATAAATAATTGATAAGAAGTGGTAATCAATAGCTATCCCAGTAGCACAATTAGGGAAATAAGAGAAGAACATGCTTATTATGCAAGTATGTTTGCGATCCTTTCTTTAGGGGAAACAAATTTCCAGAGCTGATATACAAGCATTTTCAACCATCATTCCAATATCATAATTCTGTAATCCCTGCCCTCCCCCGGTATTCCCCCACTAGTAAAATGTTAACACCAACTAGAATTGCCCCCAGTTTTTATTTACAAACATACTGCCTCTTTAATTTCCATCATTTTGGCAGCACTTCTATTTGGCACGTCAGTTTATATTCTATTAATCTCGATATTGATTGTTTTCTGTGGGGCAAAAGTTAGGTGTTATGACGCATTGAGCTGTTTATATAACAAAATGCTTCCATGTAATTTAATGTTAGAACTTGGATATAATGTTTGCACTGGAGAGAAACATGGAAGAAAATTGTTGCAAATAAATAGTACATTAAATTAATAGGTTTGCATTCTAAGAACAAGCCTCCAGGACTGCTGCTGATGAGGGGAAATAAGATGTGGTAGGATTCTTAAAGTCAATAAGCAAAAGAAAGTAATGAGCAATGCTTGGGGTCGGTGGGCGCAGATGAAATTATGAGAGCACATGTGGGCATTCTCACAGGCATGGAGTGTTTACCCATTCACAAAAAAGTTGACATGGATGCATAGCACTATTCACCAGAAAGCAAACTGGCGATCAACACTTTCTCTAGTCCTCCAGGAATCTCTGTCAACCTAGTTTGTTGTTATGGTTCATCAGGTCAACTGTGACTCCTGGTGATTGCAAGAATAAGTCTATGCAGGTTTCTTGGTAATATTTCTGTTGCCATTGTCTTCTTTCTAGGGATGAGAGAGAGGGACTGGCCCAAAGTCACCCGGTTGGCTTTTATGCCTAGGCAGAATTAAAACTCACAGTCTCCAGGTTCTGGTCCAGTGCCTTTAGCCACTACACCAAAATTACTAGTTTCATTTTTCTCTTTTTCTGGGCAGAGCAGGACTTTTCCAAACAAGGATTGGCAACCATCATTCAGTTCTAAGAACATCTATGGAACCTATATAGAGCCTAGAGGTGTTCATGGGAATAAAAGTTATGCTTTACATTCTTATATGCCAGTTTTCCACTTAATTTTTAAAATGGAAAAATAGACGTGCGTATCTCAGTGTAGAACATTTTCTCCTCAGTCCTTAAAATTTTGCTGTTGTTGTTCTAACTCCTGCAGTTTAAATATTCTACTGTGAGAATGGTAGGAGTTCTTCCCCACTTGAAATGGTACTGCCTAACAGTAAGAGCTAGATAGCATTGGACGTTGGTTCTGTAGGATCAGGCCTTCTCCTCACCTCAGTAACTGCATGCTCCTTTATCGCTGCTTTTTCCAAGTATCTGGATCAACTGATGAAGGGAATACTTTACTGATTAAATTCTTCTTGCTAACAGAGATACAAGTACATTTCCAAGGGCTTTGTCATGTATTATGGATTGCCCTATTCTGAAAATAGATAAATAAAATAAGCCTTTCTAAACCACTCTCCTTTTGCATTTGCAGGCACATTGTGAAAACACTTCTCCTGGGCCAGATACTCTCCTTGCTTATTTGCGGGACTGCGGTCACAAGCCAGTTTCTTGCCGACAACTACAGCATCAACACTCCAATGCTGCAGAGTTTCATAAACTATTGTTTGCTTTTCCTAGCATACACAACGACTCTTGCATTTCGGAAAGGTAAAATGGGATATGTTGAGTGCAGCGAGTTCTTGTGTTATTCTCCAACCATGCCCTCCTTCAGAATAGTCCATTCCATCCCCTAACTTCATTTGTTTCCTGTTAAATTTTATCCATCCATCCTTCCCTCCCTCCCTCCCTGCATTCAATTTATATGGCTCACCAACTCACCAAGGCAAATCTGGGTGGCTAATGTAAAATTAAAACAATAAGGAACAATAATAATAACAAAGATATAGCAAAGCATATATTCAGAACCATCAAATCCAACATGTACCACCTAAGGTGGGGACATCTAACTAGCCCCTAGCCTCAGCCTCAGAAAGTGCCTTTTCCCACATCCCATTTAAATTCAGGTGTTGGTAGAACAGAAGAAGTGAGCATCTGCGGAAAAGTACATGAACTTACACGTTTGCTTTTTCTTCAGATGGTGATGGACTCTTGCAGATTGTAAAGAGGAAATGGTGGAAGTACATTTTGCTTGGATTGGCTGATGTTGAAGCTAACTACACCATTGTAAAAGCCTATCAATATACGACCATAACAAGTGTCCAGGTAAAAATAATAGTGGATTTTTTGGCATGTTAAACATTAATATTTTCATTGTGGCAGGAGTTTTTCTAGGCAATTGCTCTTTAGAATCAGTTTAATATAGTAGAGTGATCCAAATTAAATCTTAAATCATGAAGTTCATGGGGTGATCTTGGGTGGATCTCTGTCTTTGCTTAACCAATTTTACAGGGTTGTTGCAAGAATGCAGTTGTGGAATGAAACACTTATGCCACCTTGGGTTTCTTGAAATAAAAGTTGGATATAAATACAATAAATTGGTAGGAGAATGCTGAATCCATCTGTTTAACTCCTGCATTCAAATAGAAAAGTTATCTCACAACTTACTCAACTTACTCAACTTACAATGACCTCATTTTATGTACCTACTAAAATGTGTTGTTATGACCAAATTCATCCCTGATTTTTATGATTTTAGTAGCTTTCAGGCAAGGCAGAGCCATTAATGAAAGATCACAGCATGCAATCTGAGAATTCTTTCATGTAGCCTTGAATTGTATCAGTTTTCCTTGCAAAGTAAAAATTACACTGTTGTGCCCTTTGTCAACCCTGTGGCCTGAGCATCCTTTGGCACTGGTGCTGGGTGATGTGGATTTCACAGTTGAAATCATAGTTTCACAGTGGATAGATTCTCAACTTTGTAAATGCAAACATATTTTTATTGTCTGCAGTCTACTAGACATAACCATTTCCTTGCTGATAGCATACTCTTGATGTTTCATCACTGGCTTGTGTCCCTCTGCAGGTTGTGATAATATGTATAAATATGTTTCTGCTATTGAAGCAGTGAAGTTTCTATTGGCCTAAAATTAGGGTTGAATTGAAAGGAAGCATTCTTTTATTCAGTTCTGAATTGTCACAAAAGTAGGAAGTTTTGGTGGAAGGAACTCTCTTCCCATCCTGACTATCCAACATTTTGCTCTGTAACGTATTGAGAGCCAGTTTGGTGTAGTGGTTAAAGGCGGTGGACTAGAAGCTTAGAGATTGTTGTTTGAATCCTCCCTTAGGTGTGGAAGCTGGCTAGGTGATTTTTGATCAGTCTCTCTCAGCCCTAGACTTGGAGGTCAAAGATATCCCTCTACCAGCCTGCATTAGATCAGATAGGAAGATTATAGTCCATAACCTTCAATGAAGAGATCTTCATCCTGCAGTGGATTGATTCAGGATGTTGTTGTTGTTAAGTAATAAACATTCAACACATGCCTATTTCAAATTTAGACTACTAATTAACTGATTAAAAGGAGTATAACTACTCCTTCTTTAAGTACCTGGGGACATATTGATGTTATAATTCAGTTGGTGTTTGGGGAGCAATATTTCTCCACTATCCTCATCCATAAATCAAGAGAAACTCTCAAGGTGTCTTCAAGCTAGTGGCCCACAGATTCTTCTTTTAAAATCACATAAATGTGCATTGATAGATTGAAAAGCTGTCTTTGGTAAATTAGCATTTTTAAAAAAGATATATTTTTAGTAGAATTACTGACAGAACATTCTCCTCAACTGGAAACTTCCTCTCTATGGGAGTGATCCAGCTGTTTGTTTTGGATAAGAAAGATCAACACTGTCTGATTTGTTTTCAGATTGATTCAGTTTGAGGAAATGTTTTGGAGATTTTTTTCTTTGAGGCTGATAGCAGTAGGAACACTGTTGATGTTTCCTAGCTGCTAAGATCACAGTAAGACTATGGACAGTCTCTTGGCAGTGAGCTTCATTTAATTCAGTGGTGCCTCCTTCTGAGGAAATGTGCATAAAGCTAGACATGCAGAGAAACATGTAAAGATCAGCCATGCATGAACATTATATTACTTAATGCAGTTGTAGTAACCCCTTCAGGTTCTGGGTGCTATCATATAATTTTGTGCAGTGGCCCAAGTGCCATCCCCCCCTCCCCGAGTACTCAGTCAGACAAGACTTTTAAATCTCAAGAGAAGTAGGGTGAAATACATTAAACTCTTATGAGATCCTGAACAAAATCAAATACAGTGGTACCTCTAGTTACGAACTTAATCCGTTCCGTGACTCTGGTTGCAACTCGAGTTGGTCGCAGCTCGAGGTAAATTTTCCCATAAGGTTCAATGTAAATACGGTTAATCCATTCCGCCCTCCGAATTTGGTCGCACCACGAGGCAAATTTCCCCATAAGGTTCAATGTAAATATGGCTAATCCGTCCTCCGAATTTGGTCGCACCACGAGGCAAATTTCCCCATAAGGTTCAATGTAAATATGGCTAATCCGTCCTCCGAATTTGGTCGCACCACGAGGCAAATTTCCCCATAAGGTTCAATGTAAATATGGCTAATCCGTCCTCCGAATTTGGTCGCACCACGAGGCAAATTTCGCCCATAAGGTTCAGTGTAAATACATACGGTTAAACAGTTCTGAAACATATGCATTTTATTT